CATGACCTTGCGCTTGCCAGGCAGGCGCTGTGCCACTGAGCTAAATCCCCAGCCCAAGAAGTGCTTCTTGTATATTTTGCAAAATGTCCTTTATGTTAAGTTTGCCAGAGGGCTTCCATATATTTCCACTGGAGGGATGGGTTTCAGGGAAAAATACTAAGGAGGTCAAGTGCCCTTTTCATCGCTTTACATCAGAGTCAAAAGCTGGTGACCAAACATCTCACTGATGGTAACTTTCATCGCCTGAAGCTTCATTACTGGTCAGTGGGTTGAAAGGAAGTCACTAAGTCTTTCACATAAACTGAGTGAAAGAAGAATCTCCCTATTTAAAATTTTTCTCAAATGGAGATTTCTCTCTCTCTCTCTCTCTTTTTCTCTCTCTCTTTCTCTCTCACTTTCTCTCTCTCTCTCTCTGTCTCTTTCTGCATCTCTGTGTCTATCTCTGTCTCTGTCTCTCTCTCTCCCTCTCTCTCTCTCCCTTTTTGCATTTATTTACTTATGCTCCATGGGTGGCTCCAGTTCCGGAGCTATTTTTCAGTGGTAATGGTAGCACCTAAAGCCAAAGAGAAAACTTGTCTTTCTGGCTAATGAACATGAGAAGACCCTAAGATCTAGAGTAGTGGGGGCAAATCCATAGAAGGTGTGCTGCAGCGGGCTCTTTGTATCATTGAAAGCTTTAGAAAATGGGGGAAATCCCCATTATCGTTTTCCTTCCCTGCTCTACCAGATGACACAAAATCACTCAGTTGTATATATGCCTAAAACACTATAGACACACCAAATGTCTATCCAGAGGATTAATTAGAAGGGTTCCTGGAAGCCACAGGGAGTGGAGGAAATAATGTAGAGTGAAGAAATGAAAAAGGGGCTCCCTTAATTCTGGGTATGGACTGACACAAGCCACAGACTCCTGCTGAGCTGCACATGTGTGGGACAGATGGGCATCAGGAGAACAAAGGCATTGAGAATTTGACTGACATTCAACCCAACCACAGAGAGACAAAACCTGCAGTCTGAATATGCCAAGTTCAGTGCCTGTGGAGAGAAAAGAGCTGGCATTCTCCAGAAGGTTTCAATGGGAAAACATCTCATAACACTCAAAATGTCCAGGATGTGATCTAAAATTATTCAACATTTAAAAAATAGTGTATGTGAGTAATTCTCCAGGGAAAAGACAATCAGCTGTCAACCTCAACATAACTGAGATATTGAGATTCTTTCAAAGGCCTTAAAAGAGCTCTTATGATTGTGCTCACTAAGACATAGGCAGTTTTGAAATGAAAGGAAAGAAAAATATTTTAGCAAAGAAAATCAACGTAAAAGTGATTACTTTAAAACTGAAAAATAAGGTATCTGCAATAAAATTCTACTATGAAAGAGGCAGAAAACAGTTTGTGAACTTGAATATGGATCAGGAGAATTTGCCCAGTTTATACAAAAGAGATAGAATGTGTTGGAAAAAAATCAATCTCAGGGACCTATGTGAAAATTAGGAAAAGATCTAAACTTCTGACATTGAAGCTCCAAAAAGGAAGCAGAAAGGATATGGTACAGAAAAAAATACTGAAGGTAAACATGCAGAAAACACAAGTTTGGTAAAAGACATAATTTTCCATGTGTAAGAACTGAAGAAAAACTCACAAAGCACAAATTCAAAGAGAACCAAACCCTGATAATCAAGATGCTGATAACTAAAGCTGAAAAAAGTCCTGACAGCAGATAGAAAAAGACATTATATATAAGGGAACAATAATTTGAAGGATTGCTGAATTCTTAGCAGATATCAAGGTTCTCAGAAGACAATGTGATAAAATCCATAAAGGGGTGAAATAACTGCTAACCTAGAGTTCCATATCCAGTAAAAATAACCATCAGAGATAATGGCAAAATAAAAACATTCTCAGATAATGGAAAACAGTGAATTAAATTTTACCAGCAGATTTTATCTAAGACAAATGATAAAGGAAATTCTCCAAGTTGAAATATTACCCTGAGGGAAACTTGAACTTCAGGAATAAATAGCATAGAAATCATAAATATCCTGATAATGATGGTGGATTGTGTTTCTCTTGAGTTCTTTCAAATACATATAACTATTGAAAGCAAACATATAAATATTTTCTGGTGGAGCATTGAATATTTGCAAACATAACAAACATGATAATTATGATGTAAGATTAGTGTGGATAATAATTCAACCAACCACTAAAAATATGTAAATGAATATTTATAATATATAAATATGATAAAAATAAATAAATCTAACTAGATTGGTGAAAGATGGACAAATAATCAAAATGAAGTCAAGAAAGGGAGATCAGAGAAATACACATAAAGTGTAATCAAAGCCAATAAAAAACGCCATTGTGTAAGTCCACTTGGGCTGCTGTAACAGAATGCCTTAAACAAAGTGGCTTTTTACAGTCTTTACGTCTCAAAACTGTAGAAGCAGGGAAGCTCAGGCTCTAGGCACTAGAAGATTTGGTGTCTAGTGAGGGCTCAATTTATAGACGGTACCGTGTCCTCACATAATGGAAGGAGCAAGAGGTCCCTACTGGGCTTCTTTTATAAGGGTATTGATGCCATTCATAATGGTTTTGCCCTTACGAGCTAATCATCCACAAAGTCCTCACTTCCTAATACTATTGCCTTGGATGTTACTACTTCAATATACGAATTCTAGGGGGATACAAGCATTCAGATCACAGCGCCAACCTTATCAAAAACTACACTGTATGTAAATGATGAAGCATAACAGTTCAAAGACAGACATCATCAGGTTGGATTTATGTTAATAACTCTTCTCTGCTGCTATACGAATGTTAGCTCATTTCAAATATTAAAATATATGCACATACATGTGGAAATTTATCTGAGGGTGGTGAGTCACCATGTAGATTGTTTTCTCTCTGGTTGTAAAATAATTTTTGGTTGGTTTTTTTTTTTTTTCTTTTTTTGGTTTTTTTCCTTTACCGGAAATCGAACTCATGACCTTGCGCTTGCCAGGCAGGCGCTGTGCCACTGAGCTAAATCCCCAGCCCCTTGGTTGTTTAACTCTACATTTTAATGTCTGGGTGAGGCATCTCTGCTCTGAAGCAACCCTGGCCAGACCTGCTAAAGCCACTCCAGTTGCTCTACGTGGTGCCTACTCAAAAGTCATCTGCTCCACTTCCTTGTTACCAGAGCTCTGATTCTGATCAAGCCCCAGAGAAGAAATCACTCCCATGATATGATCTAGTTGGTGCGTACATGACCTACTAGTGCGTGTATGATTCAGATTTGTCCAGTAACATGAAAGAAATATTTTGAGAACATCAGGGAAATATATTTTATTTCTCAGAAGAGAGATTTTTTTCTTTTGCCTGCAGATATGTCTTTGCTTTCTGTTTTGAACTTCTGAGGAAGACATATTTAGAGTTGTGGTCATCATTGCTACCAGGAAGGATCTAGTACTACAGAGAGGATAATTTCAAGTCTGATGAACCAGCCCTAGGTTTGCTTACTACTGAACTCCTTGTACAGTAAACAAGAAATATACTGTGTAAATTACAGTCACAGATTCTGCTGCCTGTAGACAAAAGTGTTAACCAACAAATGAACAAAAAGAACCTAGTCTTTCTCAGCTCAGAATGTCCTATCTGCAATTCTATCCTTTCATTATTCTTCTAGGACCATTGTCCTTTTCCCCCTTTCCCAGCCACTTAATTTTGAGGGGTGTGGGCTGAAGAACATCTTCCTGGAGACAATGAAACTGTATTAAGAACCATAGTACTGCCGGGCGTGGTGGCACACGCCTGTAATCCCAGTACTCGGGAGGCAGAGGCAGGAGGATCATTGCGAGTTCGAAAACAGGTTGGACTACAAAGTGCGCTGAAGGCCAGCCTGAACTGCAAAGCGAGACCCTGTCTCAAAAAGACACAAGAAAATTTTAAAAATTAAAAGAAAATAACCATAGTACTGCTCATTTATCACAGAACGAATAATACTACGTGGCTAGCAATTCTTCATTCAGAGTTAACACACATTTACTGAGTTCTCAGTGTGTGCTAAAGTGTACGTTGGATACTGGAGGCAAACAAATAAAATAATAACAAGATTTGTGTTTCCCAGGGGAATGACCTAGATGCAAGAAAACACATACACTGTCCATAAACACATAAGATCAGGCTGTTATGAGAGAGAGCAGACCAAAGAAGGGCATACTGGAGGCTCCTCTGAACAACAGGATCAGAAAATTGAGTATGATTTCATATACAGCTAGAGCTGCGGTCCTTCTCATTCTAAGATGCCCTAAGGAGACGCTGAACACCAAAAACCTTATTAAAATTCCGCATGAATAATCTACACTCCAAGCAAAGTAACATTTCTCTGGGGATCTTTAAAATAACTCTACATTTGGAAAATTTTAAAATTTCAATTTGTGACTAATCAATCCATAGTAACAGATCAGAAACTTGGAATTTGGACAAGTGGAAGATATTAGAAAATCATAGCCAGATTAGTGACACCTATGTTAGATGAAATGTGTAAGTGTGAAGAAATGAAAGGTTCAGGAAAAATCTGAAACGTAGCACAGGGAAGAAGAGCTGTGGATGTGGAGAGCACGTCATCAAAGAACCTGGAAACCGTCAGTGACTGTGATACCGAGGTCAGGAAACTGGCTTGGGTGGGGCAGAAACTTGAGTGGCAGATGATGTTTCGTGTGTGTCTTTTTTGCGACATGATATGTGTACATCTCTATTGGGTACAGTACAATAATTCCATACATGTATACGATGCTGAATGATTAAATGAAGTATTATTCAGTCGTAAAAATAATGCAATCCTGTCTTTTGCAGCCACCGTGGGTGACAGATACTGTTTCGAAACAATCTGATTCATGACCTCATTTCGAGCAGGAAGAATTAGAGTTCCAGCCATTCCCAGTTTAGAGACGCTGGAAGCAGTCTAGGGTAATCAGCCTTAGAAAGATAGCTTTCACTCTGGTCTTCAGCTCTTACCTAGTATGGGAATTCTGAAAGCCAGGAGAGGCGGGGCACAGAAACCTGGAGGTCGGTAGATTCCAAAATACCCATGAATGTTCCAAAGCAGCCAGCCCTCAAGTTTCACAGGGATACACTGCTGAGTTCTATTTTCCAGGGCATCTACTTCCTCTCCAGTGTTGCAGATGTTGTCTTAAATACCGACCACTTGCAGCGACAACTCCGAGTTCCACCTAGAACCCCGCGACTCCAGCAAAACGTCTTCAGGCAGCTGGGAATCCCCGCCCCCGGTTGTAACCCTGGGAACCGCCAGCCAGGAGAGCTACCCAGTTCCACCCCCTCCCTGACAGATATTGTTTCCCACTGTCTGTCCACGTGGGCGCACCGCCTCACTATTGGCCTGTGCCCCGGGACGGTGCCTTGCTCCAGCCAATAAAAGGCCTGTGCACGTGCACTGTTGCGTCTCCGGATTGGTCAGCACCCCTTGATCACGCACTGCCTTCTTACGCCAGCGCGAGTGTGTGTGTAGGGGGGCGCCAATGAAATGACTCAGTGGTCACAGACAACCAATCGGCAGGAAGCAGGTTTCCCAGCTGACTTATGGGCGCGCGCCCGGGGTGGGCTGTCCCGGCCCCTTTCCAGCCCCAGTGAGGTTTGTTAAAGGGACAGGTTACGCGGCGCGCCGGCGCTCCATGCCGCACCGCACCGCCGCCGCCGC